AAACCACACAAACTATCGGGCAGGCGTGCGGGCACACACCCCGAGTCCCCCGTGAATTTAACCACAGTCACATGGTGGATAATCCTATGATCGATCCATCTGCCCTAGAGCCAACAAAATCGGTCTAGTCCACAAGGTGGGTTCCATATCGACCGAGTTCACCTACAGGACGCCATGACTACAAAGCCGTCATAGAAGGCATCCTAATTAATGTGCCAATCAATTGGGTGATGTTGAAAACCAATAAAACTAAACATGTGCCATTACCCGAATGACGTTCATAAAAAGTCAAGCTTCAAAAGTAATTCATAAAACTCGAAACTACTTCAAAATATAAGAATCAATTTAACAAACTTGAAAGATTCAAACATACAATTCAACGAAATAAACTCAAGTTTTCACGATAAATATTCAAGAGTTATATATATATAGAGGTTGGTTATTATACAACCCTTGACATTTGCGCAACCAATACAACCCAATCTCAACCGTCCATTTTATTTGATTAATATATGATTTAATAGAAGTTTTGATTGTTTCCTAATATAAAGTATTAATCATAATTAATGAACTCTATTCATATTCCATAAATATTCAAATCATAATAAATGAACTCTCATCATTTCTATAAATATCTCAATTAATTGGGTTGCAAGGGTTGTACAAATACACATGGTTGTAAAAGAAATATACCATATATATATATATATATATATATATATATATATATATAGGGTAAAGTTCAAATGTTAATCAAAGTTTTTGTGTTAATTTTGTTAACCGATCCTGGCCATTGAATCTTTCAATAAACGGTTGTGATTAATCACGATAAAAACTTATTTTTTTTTAAATTTAAAATTTCATAAAGATAAGTGAACAAAGTTGAAAATGGTATTCAGGTAATTTTATTTTTTATACAACTCCCATATCAATAATTGAGAGCTATAAAATCAAAAAATTCAATGATTTTTGTTAATTTATTTTTGTTAATGTAAGAAACATATGAATATATATATATATATATATATATATATACTAGGTTCGATCCCCGTGTATTACACGGGGTAATTTGAACAAATTAAATCATGTCAGAAATTTATCTTACAGATATGAATGATCATCGAAAGTATGATGTTACTTCAAACTTGTACTTTTGAAATAATTCTGAATAATTGAATTTAGAAATGAAACTATATCAATAATTAATTAAAATAAAGTTAACCCTAGAATAAAATTAAATTTAGAAATGAAACTATATCAGTAAATTGAATTTAAACTTAAAAGTAAATTTAGAACGACTCTTCAGACTTGTACTCTTGAAATAACTCTGAAGTAAAACTCTTCAGACTTCATAGCTCTGTATAGTCAAGAAAAGTCAACTTTTGTCGACGTCCGACACAAATCCGACACTGATTTTTTTTAAATAAAATTTTATTTCTACAACTTTCTCTGCGGTTTTTCGACGGATTTGTAACGAATTTTTTACTTATTTACTATTGTCACAAATCCGTCGGAAATCCATCACAAAATTGATCTAATTTATTTAAATAAACTAATCAGCGTTAATTAATTAAAATTTTCGACGGATTTTAATTGATTTTTATATTTAATTATACTCCGTCGAAAATGTTTAGGAACACTTTTTTTTTCCCCATCTAAAAAAATATGTTTAAAAAAATATTTTCGACGGATTTTTGACGGATTGTAATTTTCTAATAAAAAGTTATATTCTGTCGGAATTTATTTAAAAAATTATATGTTTTATAAGAAAAAGTAAAAAACTTTTTTTAATAAGTTCCGACGGATTTCCGAAGGAATATAACTCTTTTGTGTCGGAATATAACTTTTTATTATAAAAATTATTATCGGTCGGAAATTTTGGACTTTTTAAATATATATTTTTGGAAGGAAAAACATATAAATAAATAAAAATTTCTTTGAACATTACTAACGGATTTTCAACGGAATTTGTATTTAGCCGC